GTCTGAAATTATGCAGTATTCAGTCCAAACCTTATCGTGGACTAGATCAACACAAGATCTAGCACAATTGAAAGTGAATTCACTCAGTGCATTGTTTAGAAACATTCTCATAAAAATATTTTATGGACAATCTTGATGCATCACTTGGGGATCTTTTCACCATATTTTTAGTTGGGTGAATTAGTTTCATGTAGTGTTTCACATTTTTTATTTTGGATTCTGACCCTTCTTGCTCTAAAGCTAATTTCTGAAGTACAGGAGCTGAACTACTATTGACTGTTGTAATCCTGGAAGAGAATGAAGTTCCTGCTTTTCAGGCAGAGAACATGAAGGACACAATATTTTGTAGTTATTGTTTTCATGTTAGCATTTTTTAATTCATCTCCATGCTCCATGAGATGAACATCCTTGGCAAATGAGCCACAACTAATCCTACCTCAAAGCTACCACATAATCTTTCTATCCAAAATTACCACTGGGCCTTAGTGAACTCATCGTTCTGGTGAATAAAGGGCTATGGCCTCATGATTCTCCAAGCCTTTTTAAGCACATCTCCTTTACTGTCTCAACTATTGGCTTGCCCATCTCTTAGCAGCATCACAGGCTTTAATTTCATTCTGCCTGTAGATAGTGCTTTGTTCACCAGTGGTGAGACATCATATATTTAGGGGTTTTGGAGGGGAGACCTATCACTTTCAGAAGGTTATTTTTGTTTAAACTGAGTTGGTGTGCTACAACTACATGCTTCCTTTGTGGCTGAATGGGTCACATCCTTTTGTAATAAATGTAACCTTTCTATGTAAATTCGATTCTCATACATGTCCCAGCTCTAGAGACAAGCATGGAATGAAAATGACTCACTTTGATCTCCTCCTATCCTTTGTCTTTTCCTAGGCAGTTGTCCTGAACTAGAGAAAAACCGCACAATGATGTTGATAGATCAAACTTAAAATCATTATCACTACCTTCTAAAGAGCCATAATGTCCCTTTTCTACTGTCCACTGTCTTATTTGTATTTCACTTTCTTCTCTTTTTAACCATTAATTTTCCTATCCCCCCTTTCTCGAAGGCAATGAGGAAATAAAAAGCATCCAGAAGGAAATATCTAACCTATTTTGTATACTAATGTTCCTGTGTCTGCACTCAGTACTGGACTTCAGTTATTAATATGATATGTGATTATCTGAGCCCGGCCACCTATTTAATGACATCTCTTTTGCAACTGTCACTCTCTTTTCTGTTTTATTAATTATCCCTCTTCACTCTCTGCTAGTCATGTTATCTGCATATGCACATGTTGAAATAGCTCCCATTATTAAAAGAAAAGTATTTCTTGAAGACCCCACAGTTCCCTGCAGAATGAGATAACCACTCTAACTTTCCTTCAGCTCCTTAAAATTTCTGTTAAAGTTTTCACTTTGCTAAAATAGCTGTAGTCAAGATCACCAATGATCTTTCCAAAGACATCTCCTGATTACTTTTTAGTGACTTGCCTAGCAGCAGCGTAAGGCATGGTCATTCTCCTATACAGTCTTCTTCCCTTATAGTCTGTGAGTCCCCTCGTCATGCTTCCCCTCTTGTTTCAGTGATAGTTTGTTCATTTCCCACACTTTAAATTCTGGACTGCCCCAGAATCTGTCCTGGAGTACCCGGGTCTCCTTTGCTCCCTTTATGGATAAATCTGCTAGATAGATTCTATCTGTGGCCTAAAAGTTAGTCTGTTCACTAATGACTTCCAAATTGGTATCTGTAGCTCAGACCTCTCCCCCTAAGCTACGCAGCCTCATCTCCAGTGGTTGCCTTGATTTTTCCCCTTGGATATCATAGCATCCAAGGACCAGTTCCTGATTTCCAATGTACCTTTCAGGAACCACTTGCTACACCTTCAAAATATAACGAGAATCTCAGTCTCACCATCTCCACAGATACCCCTCCATCCAAGTACTGCCATCTCTCGAATGGATTTTAGCCACTGCCTTGTCATTGACTTCTTTCTTCTGCCTTTACACACCATAGATTCACAATACACTAGACAGAAAAAACCTTTTAAAATGTGAAGCTCAAAGCTTGCCAACAGTTTTCTATTACATGGAGAGTAAGAGCTGACATCTTTACAATGGCCTGGGAGTCGCCAGTGATCTACCCTTGCTATCTCTCTGACTTGATATTTTCTCTCATTCTCCCACCTACCCTTATTTTCCTCTCATACTTGGCTTTGTCTAAGGAGCCAAACACACTTCGCATCACAGAGTCTGTGTGCTTGCTGCTTCTTCCGCCAGGAATGCAGGATGTGCTTCCACCCTGTTTGCAGAGGTCACTTGTCCCACTTAGCTCAAATGTCTCTGATCCCTTCTTTGAAGTTCTTATTTAATAACACACCTTCCTCTTACCTGCATTAACAAACATAATTATTAGGTAACTATTGTATGTTTAAGACCCAGAATGGAGCCTGGAACTTTGCAGGTGTTAAATAAATGAATGATGGGGATAGGGGTGATTGTGGAAATACATTGTATCATACTTATAAGTGTGCAAGTCTCAATTTATTTGATAAAGCTCTTTAAGATTTCACACTTTTAAAAACAGAATAATACAAGGTAGATCTGTGTATATACAGTCTGATTCATACCCACGGTCCTGTTCCAGCCTTTGACCACGAAACTATTACTTCTGCAGCAGACACTATGCTAAGATTTTCCAGTTTAATCCCCACAATTCCGCTATTCCGTGTAGTGTCCTATTTTGTTTGTTTGCAGTACCTGGGATCGAACTCTGGACATTGTGTTTTGGAGGCAGGTGGCACCACCACTGAGCAATCCCTGACCCTGTTAGTGTCTTGTTTACAAAAAAGGAAATGAGGCTTAGTGAGCTTAAGAGATCAGCTGAAGTTAGAAAGTGGCAACGCTGAGACTGAATCTGGTGAGACCTAATTTTTTGTTGTTTTATGTTGAGACAAGACAGGGTCTCACTATGTACCCCCAGGCTAGCCTTGGTCTTTCAACCCTGCTGCCTCAGCTTCCAAGTGCTAGGATTACAGGTTTGCAACACCATGCCTGACTTTAGAACCTAACTTCTGAAGAGTAATGCAGCTTCTGAAAGAAAAACCTTTTGGAGGTCCTCTTAAATGATACGATATGTACCTACTTAAACAGAAAAGTATTTAAGAAGTAGTATTTAAATATTGTGACTGTTAAGCAATAATAGATTAAACACAAGATAGTTTAAAATTTTTTTTAGCTGGAAGTTCAGTGCAATGGCATTTTGCCTAATGACTTAGAAGAGTTCTTAAGGTCTGGTTCATGCAAACATCTGACACCACACTAAGTGAGCTCTTGCTCTGGATGTGATCTCTTCTGTGTGTGAGTACACAGATAGGAAGACAGGAAGGGCCAGAGTGGTCTGGGTCATCCCCAAGAGAGCCTCTTTAGAGGAAAAGAAGAGGTGGTTTCTCAACTTATAGTTAACACTTGAGTAGACTTGCTCTTCTTTAAGGAAAAATACTTCAAACTCTAAAAGTTCTGTGAAGGTAAACAGGAAGGGATTGCTAAGAACAACCACAGAAGATACCAATGGGCCATGATTGGTCCTGACCCTACTGTTAGCTGTCTACAAAAGATGGTGCCAAGTCAGTGCTGGGGACTCCAAAGCCCCACTTTCCAATTCTTTTTTCTCTTTGCCCCCTTCCTACTGTCCTGGTCCATTGTTCAAGGCATTGAGTGGGTAGACAGTAGTAAAAATGGATTGAGAGCACCTGCATTTCACTGAAGGTTTTAAATGTACCATGTGAGCTCTAGTGGTTAAGGACATTTGCTCCCTGTGGAAGCTGATCCACATTCATACAATACGCTGTCCTGGGGGTTCTGTAGGATTTTTTTTTTTTTCTTTACAGAATAAAGATAGTAATGGAGGAAGGGTTTAAAGGTGCAAATTATGTAAAGGCAAATTTCCAGTGATGAATGTCATTGTATTGTATACCTTAAATGTACCAATAAAATTAATTTTTAAAAAAGACATTAGTAATATCTGGGAGAGCTAGTAACAATTATGTGCAGCTAAATCCTAAATAATTTAGATACATATTGTGCTGAAAATTTTCAGTAGGGATATAAATGTACTTTTTCATTACTGCTATGAATGTTGCAATGTGGCTCCACATTCAAGATAATTTTTTTTTTTAAGAGCTGGAAAATTTATTGGGGAACAGGAGTGGGGAATAAGAAGAGCTCCTGGGAGACAGGAAGGGTCCCGAATGGGTTGCCCAGATAACCTCTTTTTTGAACTCCTCTTTGTACTATTGGGGGACAAACGTCAAGTGTGAATGGGAACTAATTAGAGAAACTATTTGGTGTTCTTGAGTTCATTCCTAACTGGCAATGTGTCATATTTCTGTTGATTTATCTAATGTGAATGAAAGCGCCAGACTTTTGTATAATTGTTAGTACCACAACTGTGCTATGGACTTTGATTTTGTGTTTTTATGCTTCCTGTTAAGGTGACATGAATCATTCCATTTTCACTGTTTTTAAAAATGCAGATAGTTATTAAAAGGTATTATAGGGTGTGTATAAATCTAAGTTTCTCCTTGTATCCCTATAGCTGAAAAACCTCAGATATAATTTTTTAATAAGGCTGCCTTTGGATGAAACTACTTATGAACAGAGAAGTAAGATAGGAAATGACAAAGATGATTAGTAGCTCCTCCTGATTGGTCCAAAAGGTGACACGAAGTATTCTCATTGTGTTTTTATTTTTGTGGGCTTTGTGTCTTGGCCTTATTTTTCCTCCTATTCCAACATCTGCTAGCTTTCAGGTGGAATAATTTCTTTGGTATCTGCAGTGTCTCCAACATACCTTGAACATATCTAGCTATTCTTTCCAGGCAAGTGACTGGGTCATTTTTGGGATTGGCTTCTCGTGCTGTGAATATAATAGTCCTATTTGGCTTTTAAATATGAATAGCCCTCTTTCATTGTTCATTTTCTGTTTTTTTTCTTAACAGGCTGCAGATACTTTGGCTGTGAGGCAAAAAAGAAGAATTTATGATATCACCAACGTCTTAGAAGGAATTGATTTGATTGAAAAAAAGTCAAAAAATAGTATCCAGTGGAAGTAAGTTATAGGCAGCACCCTATTCTAAAACTTTCATTTGCTCTGTGGAATTTGACCTTTCTAACATTTGTCTCCCAAATCCTGTATTTCAACATGTAATTATACCAGGACATTTTACCCAAGACATACCTCTGTGGGCCTCTGTATGCCCCTCCTGAGTTGAGATGTTTACTTGTTCTCACTCCTGTTTAATTTATAAACTTTTGCATGGTTGTATGTTTAAGACAAATAGTTTCTGTTCTTCAGTGCTTTGTTCCTTAGGGTTTTGTTTTGTTAGGCAAAATTTCATCAAAATGCTGAATGATTATAATTTATTTTACTGGCATCTCTGTCTATATCATGACACTGCCAAGTATGACTATTTAGCTTTAATATCCTTTTGGCAACTCTGTCACCAGATGGGCTATCTAGATGAAAACAAAAACAAAACAAAAACCTTGTTGAGTTTACTTAAAAGTTTCATAATTTGGTTGTTTCATCAATAAATTTTCCAAGCAATATGTTCAGAGCTTTGGTGTAAAGATTTTAATGTTTGATTTTTAGAAGCATGTAAACATCTATATTTTGACTACATTACTAAGTAAGTTAATTTTATAGCTACAGAAATGAAATGATGTTAACCTAAGTTTGGTATTGGCAATATTAATTCTTATATGTTTTTAAGAGGTGTAGGTGCTGGCTGTAATACTAAAGAAGTTATAGATAGATTAAGATTTCTTAAAGCTGAAATTGAAGATCTAGAACTGAAGGAAAGAGAACTTGATCAGCAGAAATTGTGGCTACAGCAAAGCATCAAAAATGTGATGGATGACTCCATTAATAATAGATATCCTTTTAAATACATTATACATACATATGCAGTTATAGAACATACATGTATATAAGACATTCTTCCATTCTGAAGGTCAGTTACTTTATTTTGGTATTTTAAAAATTCTTTAAGTGAATATAAAATTTTGTAATATTTTAATAATTTAACTAATATTTAAAAGATACTACCTTTTAAAGGTATACAGTATGCTGGGCTCAGTGGTGCATGCCTGTGATCCCAGCACTTAGGAGACTGAGGCAGGAGGATCACCATGAGTTCAAGGCCAGCCCAGGCTATACATAGTGAGTTCAAGGACAGCCTGAACTACATAGTAAGACCCTGTATCAAAGAAAAGAAAAGGTACAATAGGGCCGGTGGTGTAGCTCAATAGTAAAGTGCTTGCCTAACATTCAAAAGCCCTGGATTCCATCCCTAGCACTCTAGCATAGGAAAAGAAAAGGTTATATAGTACATCTGTTAACATTAGTGTTGCACTGAGGGGAAAAAATACTATTTTCTGCTTTTAGTCTACCAACTGATAAGATGTAATAAACTAGGCAAAGTGTGGTAGTGACAGGGGCCTGTATTACTGTTTAGTATAGAAGTTTGTGGTGGGGAGGGGGTTCCCTGTGAATTGAACCCAGGTAGCACTGAGCTATAGCCCCAGCCCTTTTTATTTTGAGACAGAGTCTCATTAAATTGCCCAGGCTTATCTTGAACTTAACAATCCTTGTACCAAAGTTTCCTGTGTTACTCAGATTACAAGCCTATACCACCATGCCTACCAGTTTCTTTGTTTTGAGACAGGGTCTCAGTATGTAGTCCAGGCAGACCTTGAACTCATTATGTAGTTTCAGCTGCCCTCAAACTCAAGATCCTCCTGCCTCAGCTTTCTGAGTGCTAGGATCACAAGTGTATGCCATCATACCCAAGCCAGAGAAGTATTTTTAAATAATTATGTATTTTGAAGTGGCAAAAATTTAGTGACTCTTAAGAGTTTTGAAAAATTAATTTTAAATTTGAAGATGAAATTTCACAGGCCCACAATTAACCTGTGATGTTTTCTTCCTAGTATTAACCCAAAGATAGTTCATACTAGAGAGCAAGGGTCCAAAGCTTGTGTATTTATCCTATTATAGTAGGAGAACAAAACATTAGTAATGTACTCCACGTGTTTTTTACAAACCACTGCCAACACTTGGATACCTGTTTCTCTTGATTTGCAACTTTACCTATATTCTTACGGAAACTTTAGCCTTTGTTTTGTACCACCTCTCATGAATTTTTTACTAATATACACCACATGGTTTATTTTTCATATCTTGTTTTTGGTGAACGAGTTCATGACCTTATTTCCTTTTCATGGAGCAGTGCTCTCCATAATAGTATGAGAACAATGGGAGTTTTCAAGTCTAACGAGGTAGAGACCCCAAGATTAAAAAACAATTGAAGTAAGAGATCTTGGACTTTACACCCTGCTTTAAAGAATCTCAGCTATCCACAGTTCTCCAAGCCACGACTGATCAGGGCCATTCCTCCTGTGTGGTCCATGTACTTCTGGAGGCAAATAGTCCTCTGCCTTGATCATCCCAGAGCCAGGAAACAGACAACTGGGGGTTATCCCTATAACCCCCAAATTAACCCAAATAACTAGCCCTAAAGTGTTCACCCTTTGCCACCCTGCTGGTCCCATGGAAACCCAAACGAAGGTTCTGGCCTAATGTTTTCCCGTCTTTTCTGTCTTCTGCCTCCTGACCACCCTATAATAAACTTTGTTTTCTTTCCTAAGCTTGTCACCTTCTGTGTTTCTTTTTGCAGTGCTAGAGATTGATTCCAGGGCCTTTGTACTGCCCTATATTCCCAGTCTTTTCTGTTTTTAAGACAGGGTCTCCCTAAATCACATAGGCTAGGCTCAAACTTGTGATCCTCCTGCCTTAGGTGCTGGGATTCAGGCTTGTGACACCATGCCTGGCTCTCTCCTGTTATAGCCATACCTGATTCATAAAAGAACACAAAGCAGTGACCAATAAGATTCTCTCTGTGCAGGCTTATTTGGCTTCCCTCCTTTCCTGCTGATGGTCTCCTTTCCCCTGTCCATTCCCTTTCCCCAGGAGGTCCTAGATAGGTAGTTTTCAATCTCCTTCCCAGCAGTCTTCAGATGTCAGTCTTCAGAATGACCTCTTTTCAGAGCAAAGGATGGGAACTCCTCTTATAGACCTGTATTTGATTGTCTTTGCCTTTCCAGACTAAAGACTGGGTTTCTTTTTTACCTATGTGTGGCAACTCCTTCATACATTTGGTCATTTTGGCCTTCAGTTGTATTATTTTAAATGTATAGAATATCTTGATATAAATGCTGTTCCTTAACTCTATGACAGTACATTTTCCTATGTAACTCATGAAGATGTCTGCAATTGCTTTAATGGTAAGTTCTGTTATACTTTTCCTTACATTCTTCCTCTGACAGCTCAGCTGTAGAGCAATTAAGAATTCACCATACACACAGCCCAAGTCATTATTTTCAGGAGTTGTATGCATTTTGTCTCACTCCATAGTGTTTGTTGGTAGACTGCTTTTGTTTCTGTTTTCATGGCAATAACTGCTCTTCACAGCTCTTATTTCACTGACTCCATTGCCAGGCATAAACCCAGTGTGGAAAGGGAGGCGGGGAAAGGGCAGGGAGGAAGCCAAATCTGAATGGGATTGGGCAACACTTTCAAATCACAGAGTCAGTGACCAAACTTCAAATACAACGGGATTTTCATCAGCAGTGTTTATGAAACTATACAACAGGTGTGCTGCTCACAAATGGAAACCACACAAAACAGGAGAGTTAGGTGAATCTTTATCAGGAAGATTACTCCTATTCCATCCTGTCCTCATATTTTCCCCTTGAAATGACAATATCATGTATTAATAAACTAAAATGGTAGATGTGCTTGCATATTATAACACAAGTAAAATGAAATTCTGCATATTTGTTTATATTTAATCATGCATGCATATTAAAAAGATGGCCATGTATATTACCCACTGCTTAAATCTGCCAAAGTACTTTATCAAGTAGAATTTGACTTCCCATGTTAAGTCTACACTGGAAATAGGTCTGGAAATAGTTCTTAAGCTTTCTAAGAAAGTTTGGGTAAAAGTTGTAAGTCTAAAACTCAGCAAAGATCTGTGGTAGAATTTGGCATAAAAAATAATGTAAGGTCAAGATTTTGGTCTGTCATACCTCATCTCTATATCCTTAATCATTTAGGTAGTTAAAATACTTCAAGTAAAGTGTACAAGTAAAATTGAGCTGCAGTTGTTAATAAGAACAGAGCTGATACTTAGTATTCTGTTCTAAAAGCTAATACATTTATTGTCATACTTGACCCTTAGAACAAACCTGTGCAGTTACATGTCCCCTTGGTTTTATAGAAAGCGAGGGTCATCTAGTCTGGGATTTAAGCCCAAGCTTTTCACTCCACAGCCTGCACCCTTGCCACTGCATTGTGTAATCAGTGGTGTTTTTTACCATTTTTCTTTTTTTTGACTAGGCGATACACTTTTGGCCATTCAGGCACCTTCTGGTACACAGCTGGAGGTACCTATTCCAGAAATGGTAGGTAGTATATGTTTAGGAAAAATAGATGTACTGTCTCAAGAGGGACAGATGTATTTTCTTAATTTTATACGGGTACAATTTTGAGTTACTTCTTTCAAGTTTTATATCAGAAAGCATTGTTTGCTGAATTTGAATGTCTTCAGTACTTTGATAAAATGATATATGTGACTGATTCATTAACATTTTAATAAGTTTTTTAAAAAATTGGGATAGGTATCAATAAATTAATAATAATAGTTAAAACGGGCACATCTGTAAAGTAACAGTGTGTTGAGATGACCATAGTCATGATGGATAACTCCAGGAGATGGAGTTTATGCATGTGGAGAATGAACCCAGCACTGGCATAGGTACTATGGAGCACTCAAAGATGCGATTTTACATGCATTAAAAATGCATAGTTGCCAGAATTCTACAGCTGACAATTTTTTATGATCAGTATTTAAGAAAAGTAGCGTAGAACCTTCAGTGTCCCATTCTAAGTCTTTACTCATTGTTTAACTTAATACCTTTATTTTGCTGTATGAATTTAGTCCCTAATAGCTTTGCCTGTCTCATTTTTAATGTTTAAAGGTAGTGAGAAATGTTAATACTAATACTGTTTATGCCCAATAAATTTCAAAGGGTCAGAATGGACAAAAGAAATACCAGATCAATTTAAAGAGTCATTCAGGACCTATCCACGTGCTGCTTATAAATAAAGAATCCAGTTCATCTAAGCCTGTGGTTTTTCCTGTCCCTCCACCTGATGATCTCACACAGCCTTCTTCTCAGTCCTCCACTCCAGTGACTCCACAGAAATCCAGCATGCTGGCTCAGAACCCTCCTGAGCAACACATATCTGAAAGAAGCCAGAATCTTCAGCAGATACCAGCTACAGAAATAGCTTC